TATATGTTGCATGTTATTTGTTGATTCCCGTCTATTCGGAATCGACACATGTCGATTTTGAAATTTCACCGATTAATGAATGATGCATGTCATTTTTGATGCAAATATTATCGGACCCTATAATACTAACGATTACATATTATATTATAAAATAAAAAAGCTTGATTAATTAATTACGTATCAAATGATTACATATTTATTATATCGATAAAATAAAAGCTTATTACTAACATACCTATTAGCTATAAAGTCAAAAAAAAAAAAAAAAAAAAATTAAAAAATCAACTTCAAAAAAATCTTCTTCGTTAACAGTCATGGAACTACAAACCTTTAATTTTCTGTCACGTGAATCTTTTAATCGAATATTGGAAACATACATCGGCAAAAGAAAAAACAACCGTTGTTTGATGCATATCAATCGTTATAACGAATGCATAAACATATTAAAAAATCCCAACCTTCCACACAACCCAAGGCTTAAATATTGGGTTACTCATACTTTTAAGGTGCTTAGCCTCGGTGCAACAGAAGAACTTCATTTACTGAAACACGATGAAAATAACTTAGGGACACAAGTTTGTCCAATAGAAACTTTTTATGATGTGATTTGCACTGCGCATCAAGCGATTGAGCATGGTGGCCAGGAAAGAACCTGGAAAAAGGTTATTATATTTCATAATATCGTTATTATTATAATAAATATCTTTTATTAATCTGTATAATCCGTATAATAATTTGATTAAAGATCCGAGTTCGATATTGCTTTATCCCACAGCAAATAGTTGAGGATGCAATACGTGAATGTCAAGTATGTATTACGAGGCAAGCAATTAAAAAGATTCCACCTATTCGCCCAATAGTTTCTGAAGGGTTCTTGAATCATGTTCAGGTAACTTTTAAGATTTTAAGATTAATTATTATTTATATTAATCATTATATATTATTATTATTATTTTTTAAGTTTTTTATATTTATTAATATTTACTATAGATTGACACAATCGACATGACAGCTGTACCAGATGGACAGTACAAATATATCATTCATATAAGGGATCATTTCTCCCGGTTTTCATATGCTGAACCTACAGTATCTAAGTCAGCTGAGGAGGCTGCAACAATTTTATTTAATTTCTGCTTAATGTACGGTCCTCCTGCAATTCTTCATTCGGACAATGGTGGTGAATTTGTTGGAAAAACTATTAAGGAAGCAATGAGTTTTTGGCCAGCTATTAAGATTGTTCATGGCCGGCCTAGAAACCCCCAGTGTCAAGGTCTTGTAGAAAAAGGCAACAGCATTCTTCAAAACAAACTGGGGGCTTGGATGGAAGATACACGCAATAATAATTGGAGTGTGGGGCTAAAATTTGTAATTTGTAAATATTAGTAAACTGTATAACTTGTAATGAGATTACAATATTACGAGATTCAAATAACATTTAATCTTTTTTTATTTATTTATAAAGGGGCAATGAACAACCAATATTGCTCTGCACATAAGACTACACCTTACAATGTAGTCTTTGGGCAATTGTCACATAGTGATACTAATATAGTCGATATTTTAGAAAACGATAATTATGATAATTCTCTTGAAAATAATCGTGCAACAAATAACAATTCTTTTGAAAATAATGATTCTTTCGAAAATAATAATTCTTTCGAAAATTCTTTCGAAAATGATAATTCTTTTGAAAATAATCATGCAGCAAATAATGATTCTTTCGAAAATGATAATTCTTTTGAAAATAATCATACAACGAATAATAATTCTCTCGAAAATAATCATACAACAAATAATAATTCTCTCGAAAATAATGATTCTTTCAAGAATAATAATTCTTTTGAAAATGATGAAAATAATGACTCCTTCAAAAATAATGATGTTGATCCTTTCGAAAATGATGATTTTTTTGAAAATGATTATTCTTATGAAAATAATGATTCTTTCGAAAATAATTATGAGGCAAATAATGATTCTTTCGAAAATGATTATGAAACAAATGATGATTCTTTTAGAAGTGATTCTTTTGAAAATAAAGATTTAGTGGAAAGTTCAAAGAATGGATCTACAAGTAATGTTGGTCCCGAAATAATGGTTATATCAGATGATAGTGAATCCGAAGCAGAAATTATTTGTGAAAAAGGAAAATCAAAAGCTATTCTTATTGAACCGCAAGTAATAACGGTTAGTATGCACTACGATAGCCAACAGGTTTAAAATATTAATATTGCGGTTATTTTTTTTATTCATTTTTTTTTTTTTTTTTTTTAGCCAAGATTGCCATTACAAGTTATTACAAATTCGTCTCGACCTTCTTTTGAAAAACATGAAAAAATTAGACAGGCTGCAATTCTAAATGTCAGAAAAAATCGAGAATTTATAAGAAGTACAATGGAAATAAAGCACAAAACCAAGAGAAATCGTATGTTTGAACTAGGCGATTTTGTAAAAATTCGAATTCCTGATATCGATAAAGTGAAAATGGACAGAAAATCATTGCCCTGTAAAGTAATTCAAAGAAAAAATCATGATTCCTATCAAGTAGCTTGCAAATTTGGAGTGCTTGATAGATGGTATCCAGCAAGCGAATTGATACCATTAGGTACACCTGATTACCCAGACCTTAATGTAGTTCCATTGAATGAAACAATTTCACTAAGACACGCAGGTTTTAAACAAAATCAAACACGTCAAACTCAATCTTTAAATCATCCGATCCAATCTTCAAAGTAAAATTTCATATAACTCTTTGAGTAATTCTTAAGTTATGAATTTTCTTTATTTACTAATTGAACTCTTTATCTAACAATAGTACTAACGATAATCAAGATCCTGAAGCGAATCAATTTGTATCTAAAAAAACTTATGATTGCTGCAACTGTAGAAAAACAAATTGCAGCAGTAAATCATGCTCGTGTAGAAAAAATAATTCACTGTGTTCTAGACGGTGCGGGTGTGTATTGAGAGGCCAATGCAAAAATCGTTAGATTCCAGTTGATTAATATATTAAAGTGGAATTCAATTTTTTTAAAAGCGCTGTATTTGGTATTTAAGTTTAACACTTAGCATTTGTAAAAGAATGCTTCTTTTTTCTTTTTATAGCATTTAGTATTAATGAAAAGAACGTTATTATTTAGTATATGCACAAAGCAATTATTTTTTATGTAAGATTTATTATTTGCAAAAGGGCTTTTTTTTAATAATATGTATTTAGCAAAGGAAGCTTTATTATTTACGTTTAATATAAATGTTGCAAATTAAATCGGTGAAATTCATACCGATCCTGAAATAATATACGTTATTTTTTGATTCCCAAATGACATGCGTCAATTCCGAATTGACGAGAATCAATAAATGACATGCAACATATA